GTATACCATTTGCAATAGTAGACAACCCAAGGTATTGCAAACAGGGTATGTCCAGTCTTTTTTAGTAGCCACTTAGTCACAAACACTGGCCAAAATTGGCATTTTTTGCATTTTTCACACAAACAAATACTAACGCTAACTTTGGCCAGTGTTTGTGACCAAATGGCTACTAAAAAAGACTGGACATACCCCATTTGCAATACCTTAGGTTGTCTACTATTGCAAATGGTATGCCATTATGGGTGTAAATTTCATTCCCGGGCTACTATACAGTCTCAAAGGCAGCGTAACCAATCTGGCAAATTTCAATTTCAAATGTAACCTGCTATATTTGACCCTGTAACTTCCCAAAACGCCATAAAACCTATACATAGGGGGTACTGTCTTACACGTGAGACTTTACTGAATATAAATATGTGTATTTTATTGCAGTAAAAGCAAACAGTATTATGACATTGACCGTTAAAATGTCATGTAGAACTACAAAAATCCAAAAAAAACGTATTTTCTCCCATTTTTTTCATATTAAATTATGTTTCATAGCTAAATATTTGATATTAAATAAGCCCTGTTTTCCCTGAATAAAATGATATATAATAAGGGTGGGTGCATTTACTATGAAAGAGGTGTATTACGGTTGGACAGACATGTAGCGCAAATGCCAGGTTTTGTTTACATTTTGTTTTGTTCACAATGTGTACATTTGGCTCCGTCCTTAAGGGGTTAGTGTAACTGTGCAACAACGTTGCAATTAAATGTGCTATATAAATGATAACAGTTACTCCGCCCACTCCAGTTGTAGACTACTGGTGGAGGCAAGAACACTTCACACAATTTCCCCAGAAATTGTAGCTTTTCTAGTTCTAAATGTATTTTGATTTAAATATATACAGTTGCAAGAAAAATTATGTGAACCCTTTGGAATGATATAGATTTTGGAACAAATTGGTCATAAAATGTGATCTGATCATCATCTAAGTCACAACAATAGACAATCACAGTCTGCTTAAACTAATAACACGCAAAGAATGAAATGTTGCCATGTTTTTATTGAACACACCATGTAAACATTAACAGTGGAGGTGGAAAAAGTATGTAATTAAAGTCATTAAAGTCATTAAAGACCGTTTTTTGGCGGAGGTACCTGGTACGTCACCGGTCGGGAAGGGGTTAATACTTGGGTTGCATTTTTCCCCATTTGGTCACAGCAGCGGGCTGTGATAAGAAAGGTTAAGGGGTTAACAGGTCTGCTTAGGTAAGAAAAGAGCAAGATTAGTTAGTTGGCTGGTTAATTGTTTTTTATCTGTTGGTAATATGTTGGTGGGTTTCAAGCTTCTTGGTAGCTCAGGACCTGGGGGTGCATGGGTATCAAGGTTTACCCCTACCAGGATCGTGCGGAAAATGTTCTATCTTGTTTATGTTATATTTACGTGATTGTTATACTATGTTATGTCATGGATCATTGCCTTGTGATTTGATATGTGGGGAAGCGATATTGTTGGATGGCCGGTTGGTTTGGGGTTGGGCAATCACTTTGCAAGATGTTTTATTTATAATAAAGACAACAAAAAATGGGGTGGGAAATCCACTCACAACAAGTGGGTGGAGTGCCCAACCCATTCAAAAGTACCTCCTAATGTGAAAAGTCACATAAATAGGGTAAACAACCTTTATTGAAACGTACTAGAAAGTGTATATAGTGATTGTAGGACTTATAATACCGGATAAGCTCAAAGTTATTTATAAAAGATAATAAGGTGGGCGCTTACACCTTTAAGAAACTGGAAACAACTAGTCCTATAAAATCATACAGCTAAATGTATAGTTAAGGTGAGAATGTAGAAAAATATACAGCTGCACAGACTAGTTTAATCACATTAAAGAAGCACTTTAAAGAGAACTTGGATAGATAAATAGTAGTAAAGGTATCCAAAGGGTAATAAAAATAAAAAAATAATAGAGACAGACTTCTAGTTAGAGGTTAAGGCACACAGACTTAAATTGTAAGATGTCTGAGTAGGGTAAGAATTTCCCTATAGAGGGAAGAGTAGCCCCCTCCCAAAACCAAACACAGAGAGGGATCTCCTAAGTTACCCTAAAATAAACTGTCCAACTTAGAGTGAACAGCACAGCTCACTGCTGCTTCAAGGCAGCCTATCCAAGTCCCTAGATCGCTAATAAGGAGATTCCAGCTTATCAATAACGCTAGTGGAAAAACCCGGTTACATAGAGAAAATAGAGTGAAAAGTTCAATTCAATATAATAAGCATCGGCTAAAAAATAATAATCTCGACACACGTTTCGGCATTTGAAATACGCCTTTATCAAGAGCAACCTGGTAAGTGACTCGGGAACCGCTTATAAAGATCCATAGCCACGCCCCCGAAATCAGAAACATAGAAACATAGAAACATAGAATGTGACGGCAGATAAGAACCATTCGGCCCATCTAGTCTGCCCAATTTTCTAAATACTTTCATTAGTCCCTAGTCTTATCTTATAGTTAGGATAGCCTTATGCCTATCCCACGCATGCTTAAACTCCTTTACTGTGTTAACCTCTACCACTTCAGCTGGAAGGCTATTCCATGCATCCTCTACCCTCTCAGTAAAGTAATACTTCCTGATATTATTTTTGAACCTTTGTCCCTCTAATTTAAGACTATGTCCTCTTGTTGTGGTAGTTTTTCTTCTTTTAAATATAGTCTCCTCCTTTACTGTGTTGATTCCCTTTTATATATTTAAATGTTTCTATCATATCCCCCCTGTCTCGTCTTTCCTCCAAGCTATACATATTAAGATCCTTTAACCTTTCCTGGTAAGTTTTATCCCGCAATCCATGAACCAGTTTGGTAGCCCTTCTCTGAACCCTCTCTAAGGTATCAATATCCTTCTGAAGATACGGTCTCCAGTACTGTGTACAATACTCCAAGTGAGGTCTCACCAGTGTTCTGTACAATGGCATGAGCACTTCCCTCTTTCTACTGCTAATACCTCTCCCTATACAACCAAGCATTCTGCTAGCATTTCCTGCTGCTCTAATTCATTGTCTGCCTACCTTTAAGTCATCAGAAATAATTACCCCTAAGTCCCTTTCCTCATATGTTGAGGTTAGAACTCTATCAAATATTCTGTACTCTGCCCTTGGGTTTTTACGTCCAAGATGCATTATCTTGCACTTATCCACATTAAATGTCAGTTGCCACAATTCTGACCATTTTCTAGTTTACCTAAATCATTTGTCATTTGGCTTATCCCTCCTGGAACATCAACCCTGTTACATATCTTAGTATCATCAGCAAAAAGACATACCTTACCATCAAGACCTTATGCAATATCACTAATAAAAATATTAAAGAGAATGGGTCCAAGTACAGATCCCTGAGGTACCCCACTGGTGACAAGTCCAAGCTTCGAATATATTCCATTAGCTACAACCCTCTGTTGCCTGTCACTCAGCCACTGCCTTACCCATTCAACAATATTTGAATTCAAACTTAAAGATTGCAGTTTATTGATAAGCCTTCTATGTGCAACAGTGTCAAAAGCCTTACTGAAATCTAGGTAAGCAATGTCTACTGCACCACCCTGATCTATAATTTTAGTTACCCAATCAAAAATCAATAAGATTAGTTTGGCATGATCTCCCTGAAGTAAACCCATGTTGTCTCTGATCTTGAAATCCATGTGTTTTTAGATGTTCATCAATCCTATCCTTTAACATGGTTTCCATCACTTTCCCCACTACTGAAATAAGGCTTACTGGCCTATAGTTGCCCGACTCCTCCCTATTACCTTTCTTGTAAATGGGCACAACATTCGCTAACTTCCAATCTTCTGGGACTACTCCTGTTAACAATGATTGGTTAAATAAATCTGTTAATGGTTTTGCTAGTACACCACTAAGCTCTTTTAATAGCTTTGGGTGTATTCCATCAGGTCCCATTGACTTATTTGTCTTTTACTTTTGACAGTTGAAATAGAACCTCTTCCTCTGTAAACTCACGTGTAATAAATGACTCATTTATCCTTTTTTTCAACTGAGGTCCCTTTCCTTCATTTTCATCTGTAAATACAGAACAAAAATATTCATTGAGGCAGTCAGCTAGACCTTTATCCTCTTCTACATACCTTCCTTCTTTTGTTTTTAATCTAACTAATCCTTGTTTTGCTTTTCTTTTCTCATTTATGTATCTAAAAAATGTTTTATCCCCCTTTTTTACTGACTGTGCTATTTTCTCTTGTGTGTGTGATTTGGAAGCTCTTATAACTTGCTTAGCCTCTTTCTGCCTAATCTTATAGATCATTTTGTCTTCCTCACTCTGGGTTTTTTATAATTCCTAAATGCTAACTTTTTGTTTTTAACTATTTTGGCCACATCTGCGGAGTACCACAGTGGTTTCTTGAATTTTTTGCTTTTACTGACAAGCCTAATGCAATTTTCTGTTGCCTTCAATAGTGCAACTTTTAAATTATCCCATTTTTCTTGGACTCCATTTAAATTGCTCCAGTCTGATAATGACTCCTCTACCCATATTCTAATTTTAGAAAAGTCTGTTTTTCTAAAGTCTAAAACTTTTGTTTTTGTGTGGTGTGAATCAGTCACTGTTCTTATATTAAACCACACTGACTGATGATCACTGGATCCTAAACTTTCACCTACCGTAATATCTGATACCAAATCTCCATTTGTTAACACTAAATCTAGTATGGCCTCTTTACGAGTTGGCTCTTCAACAACTTGTTTTAGAGACAATCCCAGTAGTGAGTTTAGAATATGTGTGCTCCTGGCACAAGTAGATAATTTTGTTTTCCAATTTACATCAGGAAGGTTAAAGTCACCCATGATGATAACTTCCCCCTTCATTGTCATTTTAGCTATTTCCTCAACTAGTAGATTATCTAACTCTTCAATTTGTCCTGGGGGCCTATAAATCACACCTACACAAGTTACTGTGTGATTACCAAATTCTAACGTAACCCAAACGGACTCTATGTTTGCCTCACTAACTTTTATTAGGCTAGATTTTATGCTATTCTTCGCATCCAGGGCCACCCCTCCCCCTCTCTTGCCTTCCTATCTTTTCTATATAAAGAGTACCCTGGTATTGCTATGTCCCAGTCATTTTTCTCATTATACCATGTCTCAGTAACAGCGACTAAATCTACACTATCAGTTGCCATTATTGCCACAAGTTCATGGATCTTATTCCCTAAACTGCGAGCATTTGTAGACATGACTCTAAGCTTATCATTTTTAACACACTTGCTACAGACACCTTCTGTCCTTGTTTTGGGGGACAATTGGATTGATGTTTTATCACCCTTTTGCCCCCCTCCTAGTTTAAATACATCCTAGCAAAACCTCTGAACTGCTCACTGAGAACATTTGTTCGCTTTTGAGAAAGATGCAAACCATCTTTTTTGTACAGCTTATCTCCATTTCAAACAGTGCTACCATGAGAAATCAGAAACTCCAATCAGCACCCGTAGATGGCGAGGACGTAACAGCTTACCTCCTCTACACATTGGACCAATCAGGGGAGGTTGGCGTGATAATCACGTTCCTTCCGTATGTCCGTATGTTTGACATGTTCAATACCCCTCTGGTGTGGAATGGAGGAATAAAGGGCCTCAACATCAAGGCTACATAGACTAACCGTTGGTTCAATATGGAGATTGGAAAGGAGAGAGCCTATAATAGAGCATTGACAATTGATAGGGCTGATCTCCTGTCAGACTCCCCAGTATCAACTAAGATTACCAATAAAACCATCAGGATGATTGGTACATTTGATACTGGTTGGGATGAGGTTAAAAGCTCCATGCAGAAGTTCTGGCCTATTCTACTCAAGGACACTTATTTGAAAGAGATTCTGGGTCCACAAGTTTCTATTACAGCTAGGAGGGGCAAGAACCTCCGCAATATCCTTGTACCTAGCCATTTTACTTTTAAACAACCCTCCAATCCCACATGGCTTGGATGAAATATCCCCGTTGGTTCATTTGGTTGTGGCAGATGTGTAGCTTGTAGATACATCCTTAGAGAAGGTAAACAAACTTTCCAGATTGCTCACTTCTTCAACTGCAACTCAGCGGGGGTAGTGTATCTTCTTACCTGTAGCTGCAAGTTGATGTATGTGGGCAAAACGTTTCACCCGTTTAAAGAACGTATAAAAGAACACGTTAGATCACCTAAGAATCAATTTGATACCCCCATTTCAAGACATCTAAAGGAACAACATAGTGGTTCTTCTAAAGATATTCGGTTCTGTGGTCTAGAGCTTGTAAAGCGCGATCAAAGACGAGGTGATTTTGACAAAATCCTACGCCAAAAAGAATGTAGGTGGATTTAAAAACTGAACACCCTTAACCCAAAACGTCTCAATGAAGGGTTTTCTTTTTCTCCATTTATTTGATTGACCAATACGTATCTTTGTACCTTTCTAATAATTAATATTTTTTTGGCTTCCTGTTTATTTAGTATGACTTGTACCGGTCTCACTATTTAGTGAATTGGTCTATCTGTTTGTGATCATTTTTGTACACATTATATTTTTGGCAGTTGTAGATGCGTAACAGATTTTGGGGGTCAAAGTTCGAAAAAGTGTATTTTTTTTTATTTTTTATAATATTTTATACTTTTTGTTATAGTAAATTATATGATATGATGAAAATAATGGTATCTTTAGAAAGACCATTTAATGGCAACAAAAAAAGTATATAATATGTGTGGGTACAGTAAATGAGTAAGAGAAAAATTACAGCTAAACACAAACACCACAGAAATGTAAAAAGAGCCTTGATTCCAGCGGCAAGAATTTTGAAAAACGGCTTGGTCACTAAGGGGTTAAGATGCACCTCCAATGAATACATCCATGAAAAAAATCATGCATGTATTCATTGGGGATAAATCTACTAAACAGTGATTTAGTTGTTGTTTTTTTTTGCTTATATGGGCAGTGGAGTGTTTTTTTAAGTTTTAGAAGGAAGATCACTCTCAAATTGTATGCTATACAAAACATTGTCATTTGTATTGCTTGATATTATTATTATAGACACAATTTTCAATGTTTTCAGTCTTTCGGTCAAGCCAAATTTCCTTTTTTGGTTTCACAGACATTCAACTACCTGTCTATTCATTTTGGATAAAATTAAATAAAAGTTTTCTTTGATCACTGAATTTTGGTGACTGTTACTGTCTATGGCCCAGGGCTGGACTAAGAATACAAAGCAGCTCTGGAAAAAAAATTCCACCCCCATAATTGTTTATACTTTAATTAGCCAGTTTCCTAAAAGTCCCTATGGGTCTGTAAAATAACAGGGCTGAATTGTTCCCCCCCATGCATTGGGTGTGGTTCTTTAAAATAATCAAATGACAATGATCGGTCCACTACCTTCCCCTTTATTGCCCTTTGTGATGCACTATGTTTTTTTTCTGCTATGGTGTTTTGTCATACACAAAACATACGCAGGGCCCATCTGCACAGTCTGCCTGATAGATGGTCAATACAGCCTGCTGTCCACAGAGCTGCAGATTGAGGTGCCTCGCGATTTCTGGCCAATCAAAACATTGACGCAGGTTACCACGGCATTGCTCTGATCCTTCTGGAGATCGCAAGACACTTACAATGTGGTCTGCAGCTCTGCACCCAGAGGAGCTGCATACCGGAGAGCCTGCCCAACAGACCACCAGGGAGAGAGTCTCCTAGACCACCAGGAATTCATTTAAGAAAAAAGAAAAGAAAAGCTATTTATAACTCCCTCCACACCCTGTCACCCCACATCCAAACTTCCACAGTCCCAACTACCCTGTGGTAGCCCATCTACCATGTCATAGCCCCTCCACCTTGTCACAGCCTCCACCACACCCTGTCACCCCACAGCCAACCTGTCACAGCCAACCCACAAACCTTGCTCAACCCTGTTACTGTCCCCCACACACCCTGTCAGTCCTTACAGCCACCCACCCTGTCACCCTACACCAAGCATGTCAAAATTGCGGCCCGTGGGCCGCATGTGACCCACAATGGACAGCTTTGCGGCCTGGCGAGCCACAAGTACATGCCTAATTGCCTAGTGTTCCAAGCAGAGTAGGCACCTGCTTTCCCAACATTGCAGGTGCCTACTCTACAATAATTTACCAGGCCGGGGAGGAGAGCACGGTGAATGCAGCGAGGGAGCTCGCTCCTCACTGCTCCCTCGCTCGCCGCCTGTAGTGATGTCGGGGGCTGGGATATGACGTCATATTCCAGCGCCTGACATCACTAAACTGCATGTAAGGGAGCAGTAAGGAGCAGTAAGGAGATCTCCAGACAGAAGATCCCCACTGGACCCCGGGAATAAATGCAAGAATGTGTAAGTGTGTGTCTGTCAGTGTGTGTGTGTGTGTGTGTGTGTCTGTGAGTAAGTGTGTGTGTGTCTGTGTGTAAGTGTGTCTGTGTGCGTGTGTGTCTGTGTGTGTCAGTGAATGTGTCTGTGAGTGTATGTGTGTCTGTGAGTGTGTCTGTGTGTGTGTATGTCTGTCTGTGTGTCTATAAGTGAGTGTGTGTGTCAGTGAGTGTGTGTCTGTCTGTCAGTGAGTGTGTGTGTCCTTCAGTAAGTATGTGTGTGCGTGTCTCTGTCAGTGAGTGTGTGTGTCTGTCAATGTGTGTGTATGTATGTGTGTCTGTCAGGGAGTGTGTGTCTGTCAGTGAGTGTGTTTGTGTCGGTCAGTGTTGCAACACCTCACCTTGGTAAGAACACCTCAGACCAGATTGATGATCTAAAAAAAAGTATAATGAAAGAACAATCAATGAAACCTCTAAGAAATTGGAAAGAGTGAATTCTTTCCAATATTACAAAAGTAATAAAGTGGACAAGTTGTTAACTAA